AGACTGGAAGCTTCTGAGTCCTCATCCAAATGAATCTCAGCTGAACTGCTGCTCAAAAGCCTAAAAGTTTAACCGTCCCTAGTTCCTGGTTTTCACACCTTATATACCTTTCTGCTTCCTGCCATCACTTCCTGGGATTAAAGGCGTGTGTCACCATGCCTGGCTGTTTCCAGTGTGGCTTTGAACTCACAGAGATCCAGACAGATTTCTGCCTCCAGAATGCTAGGATTAAAGGTGTGTGTGCCACCATTTTCTGGCCTTTATGTCTACCTAGTGGCTGTTCTGGTCTCTGACCCCAGATAAGTTTATTAGGGTGCACAATATTTTGGGGAACACAATATCATCACAGTGCATCTACCCTTTCAAGCCCGAACACCCCACAAAGGATAATCAAAACGTGGAGTTAAAATGTCCCAGCTGTCATGACCACTACCAGGCTCACTTCCACCCTCATACTGAACATCCCAAGGGTGTGAGTCCCAGGAAAAGAGAACCCAGAGCTTCTCACTCATTCTTCGGCTCTGCTGGGCTCCACTCTGGACATTATTTTGCTTGTTTGACTTGCTTTTAAAGTTCTATTCCTTTAAGTGACTATAATGTAAAGCCACTTAGCAAAGCACAGTTCTGTTCCACTCTGCTCTTGTGCAGATGGAGCAAGAGAGGCCCAGTCCACCAAATACCACAAGAGCCAGGTCCCAGTCTCTCAATCCCCAGGAAGTTGATAAACCAATAATCCAGTGAAGGCATTATGTGGGCTGACAGTTGGCTTAGAGGGAGTTTGAAGGGAGAGAACGGAAGTGCAAAGACTTCTAAACATCTTCCCTTTCCTCTTGTGTTTTATAACAGAAGCTTTATTGCTTTGTATTTTTGCAAAATTCATTCATTTAAAATACCATAATACATACACAACAACCAGGAATGAAAATAAAACAGGAGTGCAAAATGTAGTGTTTTAAATGGGAACTGCCCCACCTAGACTCCAGGATTTGAATAATGAGTCCCTAGTTGGTGCTTGGGGGTGGGGCATTTAGAAGGAATGGTCTTGCTGGAGAAGTATGTCATTGAGGGCAGGGCTTTGAAGGTTTAAAGCCTTATATCTCTCTGCTTGAAGAAGTGAGTGTTCAGCTTACTGCTCCCGCAGAGTCTACAAGCTTGTTACCATGCTTCCTTGGGATGGACAGTCCACTCAAATGACTCTTTCTTCCATATGTTGTCTTGGTCATGGGGTTTTATCACAGCAACAGAAAAACAGCCAATATACTGACTAGTTCAACAATGAACCCAAGATGGTCTTTCTGGAACTCAGTCATGTGGGTCTGAGCTTCACTCCAGGACATGTTTCCTCTTTGTTAGTGAAATGTTGGTTTTTAAACCCATGAAGTGGGAGTTCTTGATCTCATTTATTTGGGCCTCTTGCTCATCAGACATGATGATGGTGGTGTCCTTTTATTATATTGCTTTTTTGACCCTTTTTAACAGTGTTCAATATATTAATAATCTCTCCTACATTGTTTTTCTTAAATCAGCATATATATATGTGTTAAATAACATTCTGATGTCTTGGAACAAAGGATATTTTGGGTTTTTGTTTTGTTTGTTGTTGTTGTTTGGGTTAATTTGGTTGGTTTTGGTTTTTTTTTTTTTTTTTTTTGGTTTTTCGAGACAGGGTTTCTCTGTGTAGCTTTGCGCCTTTCCTGGGACTCACTTGGTAGCCCAGGCTGGCCTCGAACTCACAGAGATCCGCCTGGCTCTGCCTCCCAAGTGCTGTTTTGGTTTTTTGAGATAGGGTTTCTCTGTGTAACAGCCCTGGCTGTCCTGGAACTCCCTCTATAAATCAGGCTGGCCTCAAACTCAGAGATCCACTTGTCTCTGCCTTCTGAGTGCTAGGATTAAAGGTGTGTGCCATCAACGCCCAGCTTGGAGCAAAGTATTTTTCAACATAACCTATTTTTTGATTCTTACTCAACTAAATTTTAGAATTATGTGTGAGCAGTTGTCAAAAAGTATTTATTGAGCATAGTGATGTGTGGGAAGTCTAAGTCTAGTCCAGCATAATGATGAGGAAAGGCTATACAAAGCCTAAACACAACTGTGTTGGGCAAACAAGGCTGTAGGACATCAAAGCACCATTGTATGGAAGGTTGGCTTGACCTCAGAACAAATAAACACAGTTCTGACCTCACCCCTGCCTCCTTACCCAGTCCTAGGATCCCTGCATGGAGCAGGACACTACCTCCCAAGGCCATTCAAGAAAGCCCTCTGATGCTTAACCCCCGCAAACTTGCTACTTTGGAAACAGCAGCTGGTAGCACCTATATCTCATTTCTACCCTGTCCAGCCAGGTCTGATACCTCACACCTTCCCAGCAAGGCATACACAAAGCCCTGCCTGGCATTTCTGCCCTGAAAGCTTCAAGTTTAGACTCTGGAATCAAAAGATCTGGCTTCCTGAAACTATGCAGCTATCTGGGTAGTTCTCAACAGGCCATTCAATCTTAGGGACTCAGACCTACTGGACAAAGTCTAAGGCCAAGCCCATTTTTTCAATGATGGCTTTATGCAAGCCAAGCCACACCCTAGTTAATCTCTAACCTAAAAGTGTGTGGTATTATGCGAATTTGTATGGGAAGCCTTTATTCATTTCCTTACTCGTCTAGTGTTAAGGGTTACAATAAATACAGAGAATGCAGAAGATGAATTAGATTCCTTGAGATCTCAAGTAACTCCAATGAAGGAATTAACTTCTCAACTGTTTGAAGGATCCTAAGTCAATGTCCCAGGGTTGTCTTCTAGGCTATGTGGGGGGAAAAAATCATTTGATATTTTAATTTGATCTTTAGTAGTCTCTGTTTAAAATCTTAAAAGCTATTGATTTTCCTCTACAATCTATGCTTAGATAGCCACAGCATTCACAGAACTTGCAACCGGGTGAAGATCCAAGCGAAGAAAACAAGCATCCTGAGATTCCCCACACAAAGGCAGTTACACAATGCAGGCATGCTCTGTAAGGAACATGCCTCAAGAAGCAGGGAGAACGGACAGAACCAGAGGCAGCCAAGGGCTGCAAAGGGCTTGCCCTTGAAAGTGGACCCGTGTCTGATTTGATGGTGCACACCTACAACCTCAGCCCCTGGGAGGCTGAGGCAGGAGTTTTACCAGTTCAAGGCTAGCCTGGGCTACATAGTGAAACTGTCTTTTAAAGAAAAATTGCAGAACAGCTGTCCAGCCACCACCTAGTCTGTAAAAAGCCAGAAGAGAAAGGAAATGGGTGTGGGGATGAGTTTTCACAATTGCCCCCGTAAACCCCTGTGGTTTATCTGGGGACAGGGATGCAAGTACTCCTCTGGGGAAACTTCCCATGTATTTGTTAAGGGCTAACCTTCCCACTCTCTCAACACAAACCTTTTAAAACACTCACAACCCCTTCCCTTATCAAAAGATCTCGAGTTAATTTTTTTTCCTGTGACAGCCACTACAAGGATTTATTATCCTGAATTTTTTGTTTTCTTTTACTTACTTCAGGGCTATAGTAATCCAAGTCTGGGGTGGGAACCAGATCTCCACTCCTTGATTCCCCTGACCACCTGTGCACTCTGAGAAGCAAAGGGTATGCTCAGCTTGTGTTTAAAGGGGAAGGGGAACCTTCCCCAGAATGTGCAATCACTTTACCACTGGGATTGTAAAAAGCAGTTTAAGAAACACCGGTGGAAAAAATCGGTCCTCACCTTCCTGAATTAGTAAGAGCAGGTGCAGAGGGGAGAAGACAGGTAGAGAGCAGCTGGTGCTGGTCCTGAATGTGTAAGCAGGGTGCCTGCTCAGGAAATGCCTCCCGTGGGGGTGGGGCGGGGGTGGGGCATTAGTCTTATGCACTGCCTCTGTCGCCTTTGGGGACAAGGTGCTAGTAAAGACAAGGGTCTTGAATTAATCTAAAAGCTATTCTCAAACACAGCGAAGGAAGTGAAAATACTGTAAAGAAGAATTTCTCCAGCTGAGAACACACAACCAGCCCACTGCCATCTTTCCAAAGGAATTCTGTAACTCAGTGCCTCTCGTAGTCTATCCCTACACAAGAGCCAGGTTCTTAACTAGTTATCTACACGCGAGGACGTGTCACCTTCCAGTTAACAGAAGAACAAAACATTGGGGGGTGGGGGTGGGGCGGGGAGTAGAATTGCTTCTGTCCTGGTTTGTCATTTTCTGCTTAGCCCAAGGAAAGGGCAGCTGCTGGGGGTGCCCAAGGGAGACAAGCTTCCGTAGCTGCCATCTGCCGCCTGCCTGGTCCTTGCAGCCTGGAGGAGTGAGTCCCTGTGCGCTCACTGCACAACGCGAAGCTGCAGTGGAGTTGTGTAACCTGGCTCAGGATGCAAAGCATCTACGGAAAGGCCACCAGGGCCAGTCGTGAAAGGCCGACCAGGCTGGAAGGACCCCCAAGACTAGGGGATATGGGGAGGGAGACCGTGTTGGACCCCCATCCTTACGGGTGGCTGGAAGTGGGGGGCTGTGCATCCTCTGAGGAGCCTAAGGCCGGGGGGGGGGGGGGGGGGAGGTGCAGCGAAGCAAAGCGCGCGACTCCGGAGTCTGCCAGGAGCAAAAGGAGGATGCGGCAGCAACCTAAGGACTCTGGGGGAGTTCTCAGGCTGTGTCCCAGGGAAGTGCCAAGGACATCCCCACTTTCCAGTTACGTAACTCTCACACTTTGGGCGGAATCTACTGAAACACGAACTTACTCATTCAAGTAATTAAAGTAGAAAGTCTCTCAACGGATACATGCAAAGGCCCTGGATGTTGTCTGAAAGGACGTAGCTGCCACCTGCAGCGATAGAAAGTGGCATCGTGTGTCTGTCCCCCCCCCCCCCCACCTCCGCCAGTACCCTCCCTAGGGTGGATGCCGGGTGGCGGCGGATGGCGCCCGCCGGTCCCCATCACGGAGTCGCCGTAACCGGCAGGTACGCGGGCGTCCGCCGCCCTCCTCCCCACGGCAAGACACCTGCCCGCGGTTACCTGCGGGTTGGCGGGGAGATGCGCGGCTTCGGGGACCCTCGTCGCCCTCTCCGAGGGGCCGTTCTCGCCAGGACTGTCCTCCCGCGCCGGGAAGAGCCCGCAGCGGCGCTGGAAGCGCGCCACGAGCTGCGAATCCTGCAGGCTCCGCAGCAGCTCGGCCATGGTGAGCCGCGACCCCCCGCTTCCCCGAGCCGCAGCCACGCGCGTCCGTGTCCTCGGCGTGCGCCCTGGCCTGGCGTTCCGCAGCCGGGTGCTCCGGGCGCCGGGCGAGCGGGCGGGGCGCAGCGCCAGCCAACAGGTGCGCCGCCCGGGTCCTAGCGCCCGCCCTGCACTCCGGGGAAACTCAGGTCTCCGCCTCTACCTGGCACACGTCGCGGGCCCCTTCCTCGCCATCTGGACGGCCCCAGCCCTCCCCACCCCCACCCCCACCCCCCCGCCACCTGTCTCCCCCAGGGCGCTCTCGCAATTGCTTTGAAGAGTCTAGGTGCTGGACCTGCAAGCCGACACCACTCTGACGGGCTAGTACAGACTAACCAGTAAGGAAGAGCATGGGGGCACCTGCCGGGTGCATCCTTCCAAACGCTGCAGGAAGCCTGGAAGCTTTGGGACCCTCCTTTCAAATCTGGAGGCCAAGATGAAGCTGGTCCCCAGCACACACACACACACACACACACACACACACACACACACACACACACACACACACGTCCCCACATCTTAGCTCCCTGTCCCCCCACTTTTGCCTGGTTTCTGCAAGATTAATTCCCAGGAGTCCGGCTCCTAGGGAGAATTCCCAGTGCTTCCAAACTCAGCTTGACGCAAAATTTCCTCCTCACAGGCCTGTCACCCCCTTCAAACTTGTTCAAGAATAGAATTAATGCAAAGAGGCTGGAGTCAACCTGAGAGATGTCATGGAAAAACAGAAATCCCCCTCCCGCCCTCGCCCCCCCCCCCCCGCCCCGCCCTGGGTCTTGGTAAGACTTTAAACCCAAAGGGAACAAAGTGCTGAGCGACCACAAGGCGCCCCAGCGACTGCTTTAGAACAGCAAAAGAAATGTCCTGCAGATGTGCCCTGGTTTTTCCTAGGCCCTGCTAAACCTCCCTTCCGGGTCTCTGAGATCCTAAAATGACCTCTGCACTTCATCGCAGGGGCTGAGATGCAACAGTTAAACGAGGCCCAGGTGATTGCCCTGCAGCAAGACTACAATCCAATCTTTAGTTGGGAGCCGAAGGCTGCAGAGGTGGGGGGATGGGGAGATGGGGGGAGGTTGTTCCTGGCCGCCCTTGTGAAACCTGCTATTTTGGCTGAATAAATGGCTGTGGATGAACACCTGCCACCACCTAGCTTAGCCAGTTGTCCTTCTAGGCTGGGAGGTCTTTGGTTCCTGATGTCTAAGGATGGTGTGGTCTCTTCCCTTGCTCTTTAGTCCTATCTGGAAAACATGGTCAAGGTGATTAAGAAGGCAGTAACTTCCTCAGAGATGCTATTTTCCTCTTACAGAGAAGCATGGGGCTGCTATCACAGCCCCGTGATGTCACATCCAGACATGTATAGCTCAGGAGACAGTAGTCGTCGTCGTCGTGTGTTGCCGCCCCCCCCCACCCCAGTGCTGCTTGCTCTCATTTACAGACACGGAACCAAACAGCTGGCATTACAGTCGCTCCCAATCTATTGCCTTTATAGATTTAAAAAATGTGTTCTCCCATGAAGACACTTGGATGTCTGTGTCTCCCAAATCTGTTGCTCCAACCTTTATCTAAGGAAAGAAGGGGGGGGGGGGAGACTGCATAAAAGATGACGCACTGAGTGTGGTGCCAAATTAGATGTCAGGTATAGCCTTTTTGTGTGACTCAGGTTTTCAGTGATTCATGAGATCCGAGATCAGTCACTGTGGGTTTGTTTTTCCTTCTGTGAAGAAACACTAATCTTCATTTGTTGTCTTTCTTAAAAGGCTCTTGTGAAAATCTCCAGGTGATCTCCATGAAGCATCATGAGCCAGTCACAGCAATAGACATTGTGTTGTGTGTGTGTGTGTGTGTGTGTGTGTCCTGCTCTGCGCTCCCTGTCACCATCCTCTGAGGCAAGCTCTCTCACAGAACCCGGAGCTAGGCTGCCTCCGCCCTCCCTCCGCACAGCCACATCCTCAGGTCCTCATGCTTTCACAGCAAGGACTCTTATTCCCCGGACCGACTCTCTGGCCCTCGGGATTTTATTTTAAAAGAAGGGGCTTTGTTACGTAGCCCACACTGGCTTCAGATTCTCAAATCCATCTGCTTCTGCCTGGTAAGGGCTAGATTACAGGTATGTACTGCCATGTGCAGACAGAGACTTGTTTTGAAAAACTCAATATTGGATTTGTTAGTTAGGGGTAACTATTAAGTTGCAATAATAAGCAGCCCCCCCAAAGACGGTGGTTCTAAAAACAAAAATATTTATTTCTCTGTTGCATGGTCCCCAGGCAAGGCTGCACTGACACATAACCCAATGACTTGAGTTCTCTTCATCCGATTGCTTCTCCATGCCCTTCCCTGGCACCACACCTTAAGTCTGTGCCTTCTTGTGTACAGCTCCTGAAAAGGAGCAGGTGGTGAGTATCCTGGGTGTCACTTTCACAATGGACAAACGAAGCAGAGGTTTACACTATCGGTAGGAACACACCCTTGCAGTCTCAGGAGAAGCTTGGAAGTGTCACCTCTAGCAGGGAAGCCTGGGTCTGGCTTAAATTTTATTTCTGTGGAAAGAGAAGAGGACAACATTATTTTGTGTTTATTTACTGTTCGTTCCTGAAAACTACCAGAAGTCTCTACTAGAGTTTGGAAACAAACTATTATTGGTGAAAATGACATAAAATAGGAGCAGCAAGGTAGCTCAGCCAGTAAAGGTACTTATTGTCAATCTTGGTGGCCTGAGTTTGATTCTCAGGCCCTACCTGGTAGGAGAAGAGACCTGATGCATGCATGCATGCATGCATGCATGCGCACACACACACACACACACACACACACACACACACACACACACACACACACTAAATAAATAAATAAATAAATAAATACAATTTTTTTTTGGTCTTTTGAGACAGTGTTTCTTTGTGTATCTTTGGCTGTCCTAGAACTTGCTTTGCAGATCAGGCTGGCCTGGAACTCACAGAGATCCACCTGCCTCTGCCTCCCGAGTGCTGGGATTAAAAGTATGTGCTACCACTGACCATAAAATGTAATTTTTAAAATACTATAACATATAAATCAGTGTTCTTATTGTGTCTAATTTAATTTAGGCTCTCTGTCTTTGATTTGGTACCCTCTAAATGCTTCGATGCAAATGCTTTTAAAATGTTTTTCTTTAATTTTGAGAATTTCATATATGTATTCAAAGAAATATGATTATAGCTACATCTATTTTCTCTTCCAACTTCCTCCATATTCCATATTCCCCCTAATATGCCCTCCTGCCAACATCCTATCTTTTTTTTGATAAATCACAAAGTTCAGTTAGTGTTGCCCATGTGTACATGGGTATGGGGGATCCACTGGAGCATGGAAGATGCTTTTTTATCTTTTAATTTTTTATTTTTTGCTTTTCAAGACAGGGTCTCTTTATAGAGCCCTGCCTTCCTGGAACTCATTATGTAGACCAGGCTGGCCTTGAACTCACAGAGATCTACCTCCCTTGCCTCCTGAGTACTGGGATTAAAGGCGTGTGCCACCAAGTCCAGCAAGATATTTTTTTAAAAAGAGACAGAAAGTGTTATTAGGAACAAGTAATATTTTTTGTAACTTAGAAGGAAAGAATTAAAATAAATGCTAAATTCATCCTCACTTTTCGATGAAAAACCTTAGTATTATTCACCCACTAGATTTTGAATTTTGATTTAGATTTTTCTCTACAGAATAGGTCACTTCCAAACTGCAGTTAGACCTTTCTGTTTCATCCAGGCAATGTTTCTTAGATCAAGACAATTAACCAGGGTTTGGGCTCTGTATTAGTTATCTGTGGCTGAGTAACAAATTTCCCCATACACAGTGAGTTAAACCACAGCATCGTCACTTTGTAATTTCTGTGGTCAGCACCCCACACGCACGTTATCTGGGGCCTCTGACTTTCAGTTTCTCACAAGGCTGAGGTCATCTCCACCCCTACAGTCGCATTTCAGTTCTATATGGGCTGCTGTATCTAGGCCTCCCTCCCATCTGGGTCATATGTACCTCCTCACAGTGCAACTGCGGTCCCAGAGCCTCGCTTGCAGAGACTGAATCTTAAAACTGTTCTATTCAGAGAGCTGACAATCATAGACGATGGTGGATTGACATCCTATCAAAGTCTAAAATCATTTCCAGACAGCGAATTTCATAGGCAGAAGGAAGTGGTGATGGGGGGGCGGGGGGGGGGGCAGGGTGAAGGCACTCACATTCTGGGCCTCACTCTTGTCCCTCTGACGAGGTGATCAATCCCATTTGGGGTATTTGTGATGTCTGTGCTTCTTCCTTTGTCTCCTCTTACATCCTTCCCTGACATTGTCGCTGTTTGGGCTCAGGTACTTCTTGAAAGGCAAGTCAGGTCATTCTCTACCTGTGTCACCCTCGTCCTCCTCTAGGGGCACTGGGCTGGAAGGAGATGAACTTCATCAAGCAAACTATTAATGGTGTGTGTATGCTGGGCTGTTAATGGCCTGGATGTGTAGATTCATTTCTACAGTGTGGGGTGCAAGCGTGCCTTTATAACACAGACTATGACAGTGCCCACGCCCATGCCTGGTGTTTTCAGAAGAATAATTGGGAAGTTTCTTCTTGCTACGAGGTGAAAGGTATCCGGATGCAGGGAAAAGCCATGGGTATGGACTCATTTCAAGACCAATAACTGAAATTTCAAAATACTCCTTCAGAAGAAAGGAATTTCACATATAAGCAAATGCAAATATATGGCTATCTCTTTTCTTTCTTTTTAAAATACAGATAATAGCATTCTTCGCACAGGGTACTTCTCTTGGTTTTATCACAGAGGTTGGTCCATGTAAGTGTGGTTCTTACGGCTGTACACCATTCCATTCTACGAGCTGAAATTTCTTTTCCTAATGTAAATTTGGATGGTGTCCAATGTACTATTTCCAAACAGTATATACTAAGTAACCTTTGTTCCCACCTGTGTTTCTAGTATATACTGTACCAAGCAAGGACTGGGTTTGCTGGGTCAGAAGTATATACCATTTTTAGCATAGCGTTTACCAATGTTAAATGTTGCTGATTTGGCTCTTAGGAGTGATGTGTCAAC